TGGCAGTGAAATACTTGGACGGTCCCTTTGTGTTCAGACTTAACGACAATGGTACAGGACCGCATCTTCTCGTACAGGTATCGATTATTCAAACGACATTTTAACTACTCGATTGTCACCTTTAGAAAACCGTAAGCTCTATAAAAATGTTGCTAGATAGACTTTCCATTGAAAGGGTGAAAATCGAACAACGCGCGTTCCAACAAAGTCTGCGTCATGATCGTGTGTGTATGTGTGTGTATGTGGGAGGAATTCGACTGTAAAGTATAACAATGGATACATGTAACCACCGGGTGGGTCCCGTCACGCTTTTATGTCGCTCGGAATTTGTTCGGCACTGTTACAAACTTAGCTGTACCCTTGAACTGAATACTTTTCAAGGTACATACACAGTGTGCATATGCACGTACATACCTGCAGAGTGAAACGGGATGCGACGCGCTTTTGCGTGCACCACTTTTAGAAACGCGGCTATTAAGTAAGCGCGACATGTGATAATAAATGTCTTTCCCATCTCTTTCTTGTTTCACCGCTTACGGTTCGATTTTCCCCGATAAAAGAACGGTAACTCGATCATTATCCGATAGAAACTTTTCCGTTAGCTAATCGATTGCGTAAAAAATGATTCCGTTAATTATTCTGGGTAAAGGGACCAGGCTACTGTAACGAGACGAAATAAATTCAAAACAGGGCGCTAATGTGGTCGATGACCTTCCACGGGGAATCGATGATGAAGTAAGAAAAGAATGATAAAAGTAGGCTAGTGTAACGGCGAAAGAGGATATACTCGAATTAAATTGTAATTAGAGACCTTGGCTCGCTTTTGATATGAAAAGCGGACAATTCCTAATGTTCTAATAACACGACAAATAAATCAAGGGCGTTCTCTCTGCTATTCTCGCGTGCACACCGTTCAAAAGTTCCCGAATTTCTGGAATGCGTAATATTCAAAGTTAATCGGTGCTCCCTCCCACACGTTTCATTCATTCAGAAGTCAGAACGTTAAATCGCCATTCTCTTACGTATTCGCAGGTTTGTACGGAACGCGGCTGGAGAGATTACACCGGTGAAAATAATGTATTCAAAGATCGATGGAATTTATGGTGGCGGTCCGGTGGTTTCCCCTTACCCCATTACAAGCTATTACTCCCATGGCAGGTAATAACAGAGCCAATTCTCGTACTTAAATTTCTTCTTCGATTATCATTTCCACGAATTTCAGTTCATCAATAGAATTCCAAAAGGAAGCTCGATCTGCAGAAAAGACAATCTTATCCGCCACCTGAGGTGCATGAAGAAGATGCACGGTTCGATATACGACTTCAGGTACACAATCTAGGATAAAAAGGGGGCGAAAAAAAGAAAAGAAAATCACGTACCTGTCGTTAGACCATTGTGAAAAATACATCGTGTTAGTCCTACAGGATACAACATGCCATCGGAGTATACGAAACTAGCTGAAGAATGCAGCCGTTGCGAACCAGACAGAGTTTGGATCTGTAAGCCAGTTGGACAAAGTCAAGGAAAAGGGATTTTTCTGTTTCGTGTAAGGAATTTTTAAAGCAGTCACCGTTCGATCGTCCTTTACAGTAATTGTACGTTTACAGAAATTAAGCGACCTCACGTACGACAATGCGGCAATAGTTCAACGATACATCGAAAATCCTCTTTTGATAGGGGGATACAAATTCGATCTACGATTGTACGTATGCGTACCCTCCTATCGTCCACTAACGATATACTTGTACAAAGAAGGATTGGCACGTTTCGCCACGGAGAAATTTTCATTGGAGCACTTGAACGACCCTTTTCGACATCTCACGAATTTTTCTTTGAACAAATGGGGCCCAGGATATTCGGAGAAAAAGGAACGCGTCGGTTCTGGTATGAAACCATTTCCGAACAAGTTCAATTCTCTTGGATTCTATCGAAAGTAGTTGTAGAATTGGAATTTTTACAGGATGCAAATGGACTTTCAGACAATTGAGGAGATACTTCGAACAAGCTGGATACAACGATTGGTTTCTGTGGCAGAGGATAGCCTGTTTAGTGAGTCTAACGATATTAAGTCAAGCCGCGAGCATACCTAGATCCTCCAATTGCTTCGAATTCTTTGGATTCGACGTGTTGATCGACAAAAATTTAAAACCATGGCTACTAGAGGTGAACAGATGAATATTTTCACTTACTTGAACGAGATAACCGGTGCTAACGCGCGAAAATTGACATTTAAATAGGTCAATCTTAGCCCAGCTTTAAGTAACGACTGTGAGATCGACTCTGAAGTAAAGAAACCTCTGCTGCATGACTTATTCGATTTACTAGGTCTTCCAGTATGCAACACTGGACTCTCCCTATTTACGATATGGTCGACGAGCACCGTGGACGATCAGGTCGAAACGTCTTCCAAGTTTTGCACGAGTCGAGCCACGAAGAAGAAGTCGAGAACTTGTCGGGAAACTGATGGTTTTTTAAACATATGCACGGAACTTCGGCCTAATGTACATATTTCAAGTAGAACATTGAACAATTAGCAGTAAAGGTGTAGACTCTGTGCCTGTAGAAATATTTTTAATCATCAGCTCAGACAATCAACCACCAATGACTCTTCGAGTACGTGGTCTCGTTACAATCCTCTGTTAGTGGATAAGTACATTCCGCGTGGTTTTCGGGGGAACAACCCTGAAAACCATGTTAAAGCATCGGTGTGGGACAATGGTAAAGACTGGAGCACACCTTGCGCTAGGGAAGGAGGATGGGTCCGCATTTATCCACTGACTCGAATAAAACCTGAGAATACCATTGATTATATGTCACCTTTGTCAGAGACTACAAGAGCCTTGGAGAAAGAAACAAGAAATACAGTTGTTTCTATACAAAAGTAATAGTCTGCTGATGAATTTAATTAATAAAAAAAAAGAAATTGAGAAACCATACATGATATTAATCATTCTTTACAGATACTTTAAAGCTGCCAAAGAAGTGCACAAGAAAAATGAGAAATATAGAGATGAACAATGTAACGCTATCTTAAGAAAAATATTGGAATTGAATACCGAAGTATGGCTGCCATCAAAGTGATTTGAAACAATTTTGTCTTTTGTCTTTACATTTTTTCATCCTTCAAGCGAATCAGCACAATACGCTTTAACCAATTAAATGATTTTATATTACAATATTTAAAATGTATTTTTAACAGCCAAAATGTTCTCGATACTTTTAATAGTAAGACGGCATTAAAAATCATATTTTAAAAATAATTACGATAAAGTACCACGTAGGGGTAATTAATCTACGGGGGGTTAAGGTGAAGAACATCTTTATTCACCAAGAAATTCTCGGTTTATTGAATGTTTTCTTGAAAATGTACATTAATTCACACCTTTCGCTGCTAACCTCTTGTCGCGCTCTTCGGCAATTGAAAGCTTAACACCCTTGTCCCTTGGTAAGCTAATGTATGGCTTTGTACCCTTGCCGATGATAAATACGTTGTTCAACCTAAACGAATGATTTATTATAACAGTCGAAGCATTCAGCCAAACGTAGAAAATACTCTAATTTATGCTGTTTCCTACATGGGTAGTACTGAAAAGTCTATGTGAGAGCAATCAGTGACCAATATGAAGGGATTTCATTTTGGCCATCTTTTGACTACAATATTTATTACGATATACCGTAGCTTCGAAGTGGCCACCATAAAAATAAATTCAACCTTTTATTGTTCTGTAAAAACTTGAAATCGAAAACAAATGTAAAAAGGTAATGTAAATAAAACATAGAAATGCGAAATACCTTGTAGCAAAAGTATGTCCCTGTGAGTCTTTAATGTGGCAAATATCAAAAGATCCAGGATGACGCTCGCGGCTAACGACTGTGCCCACACGCCCTAAATTTCTTCCACCAGTAATCATACAGAGATTACCTATAAAATAAAAATTAATAAATATATCTCACATAAATGCAGCCAACGCACATATAAATAAAAATATTGTACCTGAATCAAATCTAATAGAATCCAAGATTTTGCTTGTTGCTATGTCCAAATGAATAGTGTCGTTTACTTTGATTAGAGGATCTGGATAACGAATAGTTCTTCCATCGTGTGTTACCAAAAATGGAATGCCTTTTGGTCCAGTCTGAACACGCTTTACTTTACATAATTTGTACTGTAACAGAAAATGTTTAATTACTTAATAATTAACTAAATCAAGAGTATATAACCTGTTCACTTTCTATTCTATATTAGTGATAAATTACCTTAGCTTCTTCAGCAGTAATTCTGTGTGTGGTAAAGCGGCCCTTAACATCATAAATCAGACGGAAATATTCACCAGTCTTATTAATGGTAATGACATCTGAAAGGAAAATAACTGCATTTTTTATATGTTTCAAAAATATTTTTCTAAATGATATATAAAGTGTGCACTTCTTGGGTAATACAGAAGGAGTATTTTACTTAATCTGTGACCAAAATAAAGAGCTTTTTTTTACTATTGGCCAATGTTTGACTTTAATATTTTATTTAAAAAATATTATAGCTTCGATATGGCCTTTTAAAATTAGAAACTAACCTATCTTATGAACTTACCCATGAAGCCAGCAGGGTAGTTGGGATCAGTTCGAACCTTGCCATCAACTTTGATCAAACGTTGCATCACAATTTTCGTTACTTCACAGTTTGTCAATGCATACTTCAATCTGTTGCGAAGGAAGATAACAAGAGGAAGAGATTCCCGCAGTTTGTGAGGACCCGTAGACGGACGTGGGGCATACACACCCCCCAATTTATCTAACATCCATGCTTTAGGTGCGTTAAGACGCTTCAAATGCTTTTTCGGTCCACGAGCCTAAAACCGAATTTCACATATTCGATGTTAATGAGAAATTCGATGAACACTTTTGTGTCAAATATATCACTTAATACGGTCTGTTGTCGTACTGTACTTTAAGGTTAGATTACCATTTACGTTTATATTGTATTTCGTTACAACTATAATTACAAACTATATCACATTAAAAACTTATTCCTACGAACAAACTGCGATAACGAATATTTAGTCCAAGTATTCATACATATTCGATATAAAAAAGTAACCCCTACGCGCACAACCTAACCGTATTTCTCACTTCATAAGAAGAAAATGGATTTAGTAGACCATATATATATAAATATTCACTTTAATTTCTTAAGTTCACGTTTTAATGGAATATTAAACGATATAACATACTACACAACCGATGTACACGGATTTTATATTGATTACAAATGCCCGACTTACCATCTCGATTTTCTAAACGGAAAAGGCACGTCCACGCTGTATTTCTGTACACATCAGGAAACCATCCGCAACGCCACTGTAGCCAAAATGGCGGACAAGTGTTATTAATCTGTTAATGTAAATGTTGTAAATGGTTTGTATTACTATAAATTAGTTTAAAAGTTTTATATTTTTAGAATACGTGAACTTTAATTTTGTTTCCTGCATAAATCATTACAAATTGTAATTATGATAAGTGTTGTTACCCTAATTAGATTACTATTAAAACATGACTACTATTAATATTTTTTCTTTTAATGCCTTTATCTATAAGAATTAATTTTTAAAGGGAAATATAAGAGATATATAATAACAGGAAAGTGTTTTATTAAATGTACATAAAAGCAATATAAAAATACAATAATTGTTTAAAAAGTTTAATCATATGAAAGAATGAAAAAATTTAGATATTAGTTCAACTGTATTGTTTCAACAATGTTGTCCAGTAAACTAGATGCTCCAATTCTAAATAAATCTTTAGTCATCCATTCATCCCCTAATTCCATTTGAGCTAACATCATCCATTCTAAAGCCTCTTGTGAAACCTTAATACCACCAGCAGGTTTTAAACCAACCTAAATAGAGTATAGTTTAATAAAAAGTGTATGAAAAATATAATAATGTATTTTGTTTTTGAGATAAAGGTGTATACCTTTCTTTTGGTAAATTCATAATAATCTCTGATTGCACGACACATAACAATCCCAACTGGCAAAGTAGCATTTATTGCTTCTTTTCCAGTAGATGTTTTGATAAAGTCTGCTCCAGCCAACATTGCTACTACAGATGCTTTATATACATTTTCTAAATTACCTAGTTCTCCTGTGGCAAGTATGACTTTTAAACATACTTTATTGCCACAAGCAATACGAAATGATTTCAATTCTTCGTATAACTCTTTCCATTGGTGCATTAGAGCTAATGGTCGATTAATAACAATATCAATCTCATCAGCTCCTAGCTCAACACCTATTTCTACTTCGCGAAGACGTGTTTCCAATGGATATTGCCCAGAGGGAAACCCTCCACCCACTGTTTCAATGATAATAATATACTTTACTACCTTCTAATTTAAATAAACTTAAAACAAAGCTTCATTACTTACCAGTAGCTCTGGAAATTTTATGTTCTTTATCAAATTTTTTCAATGCAGATATTACATCTGGTAGTCTCAAAGGATATACAGCTACAGATGCAGTATGCAAGTTTGAAAAATTTGACAATTTAACAGGATTTACTGCCTGTAATTATGTAGAAATGTAGAAAAATCAATATTTCTAAAAATGTATTAAGTATCAAGGTTTTCAATGTAAAAATAAATATTACTTTTGCACATAAAGCTTCAACTCTGGCAGGTGTATCATCACTTCCCAAAGTTGTTAAGTCTAAGAAGCCTATTGCCTTCAGTAACCAAGAAGTTTTAGTATCCTTTCCCAATTCATTAACTTTAGAATGTATAGAATTAATTTTTTCATCTATTTCAGATTGATCAAAATTTATTGTAGCTAAAACAAAAATATATAGAAATTAAAAATACGATTAAATTAAGAAACTTTTAATATAATTTACCACTGGTCAGCTTTTGAATATCCATTACGTCTGTTTTAAAATATTCGAAAGTATTAAGATACGTAAAAATGTACACGTAGAAGTGTGATTGCCTTAATACCGGTTACTACCAGTGTCACGTATCTGTAACGCACTAAATCTAATGATAAATCGCTGTTACATGGATGTATAGTTTATGTATTTAATAAAAATTATGTGTGCGTAAACGCAAATATACACTGCATTGAATAAACTGCTAAAAATGTAAATATGAAGCATATAAACAAAACCAATACGAGAGGTAACGCAGGTAGCGAATTTTATAACGTAATACTACATAATTTATGATCTTTAGTACACGATATAATAAAACAAATTTAATTTCTATATATTTATATTGGTGTACATTAATATTATCTCTGATTTATTTTATCTTAACTAAACTTCCCCCATTTTATTTTCTTATCGTAATATACGACTTCTGACACGGATGTTACAGTTAATGTATGAATTAAATATATTTCCCGCGAAAGTGAAAGTATAGTGCCTTGTATCTCGAGCAGTAAAATGTTTATATTGAAACAAAAAGCACAATTCAACGCGATTTTTATTTAGGATTGACATTATAGAAGTGAAGTAAGAGTATTTTATTGAAAAAATATGCTAAACGTAAAATATTAGGGAGAGAAATATAGAATAAAGTTGCCTAGTAAATGATGATGTATTATAATATACACAATAGATTTATTTATGAATAAAACTTGTCATTTATTACTTCTAAT